CAAGTAAAGCCTCATTCATTTTCTCCACAGAGAAATATATTTTTAGCAGTAACAGATAAACATTTAAAGACAACTCTGAGCTTGTTAATCGAGTTTATATACTTTTTTAGAATAGTCTGTTTGCAATTTTTTTTTTTTTTTTTTTTTGAGGCGTGTTTTTTGGGTGTTGGTGATTGTGAGTAATGCCACGGTCACTCTAGAGTTTGAGTATGCGAAATTCTGTTGTAAGGCACTACGAAAAGAGGCGGGATTAAACAAGATAATAAGATGTTAAAAAAGCATGTGATTGCTCCATATTTTAAATCTCTGTACAGAGAAGTCATGTTTTGATCTTTGATTGGTCTCATGCAATCACATGATGCGATTTTGCAGGTCCAAGGTCTCTAAAAGCTTGAATTTTTTAATGCAAAACTTGAGCTTGTATTTCCGGTCTGCCACATTTGCATGCGTATGAATGGAAGTCTATGGAGCGAAAAGTTCAGTGTGACCGCAGTTTAAGTTGGTGAAACTCAATTCTGAGCACCATAGACTGGGTTTCGGGAAGTGGCGACAGCGATCAGATACTACCATAGAGGTTGGATGTTGGAGTCTGTATCAAAAAGTAGAGGACCAGGGTGGTGGAATTCCAGGAGTTTTTCTGGAAAAATTACAAAATGGGAAAGTGGTGGGAGATGGCTGTGAAAAACAGTATGGGAGACTCCGGGGAAAAAACTGTTGGCAGGTATGCCCATTCTCTGCAGAACATTCAACCAATCACAGTCCCACAGTAGGCAAATTGTACCAAAAGGGATCTTTAGCTCTGCACAATGAAACACTGCAAAATGATTGAATATATCGCCTTGTTTCAGCTGAGTGGTACATTTTAGTGTAGTATGATTTGTTGTGGTAGAGGTCACCCTGATCAGGCCTCTGTTTCCACTGACAAAGTTGCGATCAATGTCATTCTTGCAGAAGAAGAAAGCTGTTTACATATTGTATCCTTTGCAAATGTCCATTATTTTGAATAAAGTTTTTTTATAAACTAATTTCGAGAGGATTACCCTATACTCCCCCTTCTTTCCAAATGGGTGACACGGTGGCCCAGTGATAAGCACTGTTGCCTCACAGCAAGAATGTCTCAGGTTAAAGTCCCAACTAAACCAGTTGACATTTCTGTGTGTAGTTTGCTCATTCTCCCTGTACTTGCGTAGGTTTTCCCCGGGTTCTCTGGTTTCCTCCCAAAGTCAAAAAACACACAATCTAAGTAAATTGTATAGCAAATTAATATCATAGCCAAACTCTTAGCAAGCATACATCTCTCCTTAGCCATCCTATATCTGTCATTAGCCAGAAATAAGTCAGGGGAGTTCATTTAGATCTACCTGAGCTTAAACTCCCCTCTCACTCTGCAAACATGAGGGAGCCCAGGGCTAGAGGATCTCATAAGCTCAGGGCTCTCTCCCGGGATAGCATGCCAAACAAGCTTTATTATCAATCATCAGCTGCATGCGAACTCTTGAAATGTAGAGAGAACCAGCACGACTTGTACTTTCCACACGACATGTGAATAGCTCTAAACAACAATGGAGGACATACAGCAGATCCTGGTCTAGCTTCTTGTCACATGACTGTTTGTCACAAGAAGACGACAAGCTTTGTTTGAGCTTGAGTCATTGCTGTGTATGTCATTGTATTATTACAGTGTCACGTTTCAGCGGTGTATTTAAAACAGTTATTCCCGTGTTGTCATTCCCTTGTCTTGTTGCACATGCAAGAGACAATTCTCTGTAAATCAGTAGTGTTCAGCAGCTAGTCTAGCTCCACCAAAAAAGTGGTATGGTGGTGCGATACTGTACTGTAATGGCCGTTAGTGCTTATTTTGCAATTGACTTGAAAATGATTGTTTTTGTAGATACAACTAACACATTTAAAAAACATCTGAAAAAAAGTCTGTTTCAAAACAAAGTTGATGGTGATGTAATTCACTTGGTTTAAACAGTTTACAACAACAACAACAAAAAAAACTTCTTTTAATCCATGGGAAAAACAATAAGACAGAAATGTTCAAATGACACATGCTCTGCTAACTGATTAGCTGCACCAACAACACTGTCACTGTCAGGCCTCATAATGAGATCTGTCAGGGCTAAAAATAGCAGGCATTGGAGTCACATTACTGGCACCAACAACTGGAATGTAAATCATGGAAAGTTATTCCAGGAGCAGGCAATGATCTTGATCCAGGAACATGTTCTGCTTGTGTTGCAAGAACATCTCAAACCTGTAGAGTAATAGCAGGTTCACTCGGCATGAACAGCTTTGAGTGTTTTGTCAGAACCCGAGTGTCAAACCTCAGGAGTAGTTTGTTTCTTGAAGGCAACATGATCTCAGGACACAGTTGATCTTTCTGTCTTTCAACTCCATCCTGAGCAGGTTTCGCTGTAAGACCTGAGTCTCTGTGTGTCTGTCTGCTGTTCTGTTGTATGGTTTTCTTACCTTTTTTTATCAACTGTGATGACAATGACCTCAGTGGACTTGCTAATGCTGCTGTTAAAGCAGCTGTTTTTGAAGTTGGGTATTGTTCTTGCATTTGATTCTGCTCTGTTAGATCAAAGGAGGAAACTCAAGATTAGAGTTTGTGAATAAACCCAGTGAAAGACCTGAATATGCCATTACAGCGTTGCTTTAGCTGTCATAATGCAAATCAGTCCGATCTCGATCTTGCTGATAAAGCTTGATTGCATGTCCTGGTGTTTCAGATCGGTGGCCCGTTGACACATTCTGTCAGTGCTGCTTGTATATATTTGTGCAATTATGAAATTTGCTCTGTGCAGTGCACCTTCATATCAGTCTTAATTTGTGCCAATGTGGGTGGGAGAATTTAGCACTTCATCAGCCTGCAGTATTGTGGGTGGAACTAAGTGACAGTCTGGTGCCGCAACATCAATATGCTTGTTCTCAGATTGTTGCCCCTTTTAACTGGATGTGATATGGATTGTATGGGGTATCTCCTCTCCATAGACCCCGTCTCTGATTTCATGCAATCTTACGCTTGATGCTTGAAGTGATTTAGCAGTCACTTCTTCCTGTTATTCCAGCATAAATTACTCAAGACTTTTGAAGCAAAAATCATTATTGTCAATGCTTGAAGAAGGTCTTGTAAATAAAACAACAGCCTTTCTCGTCTTAAAAATCTATGTTGTGATTGATTATAGCCCAACCTAAGTCACTGACCACCCACCCACCCACTCTAGTCAGCACTTGAACAAACCCAACCCCCTTTTTTCCTATTGGGAAAATGTCAAGTCGACCTTGCTTTGTTCCCCTCTCTGGTTTAGAACGTATCTACGTAACGAAACAGCACTGGCTTTCTGTTAGCATGTCCAGATCATAATTATAGGCAAACAGCTGTTGTGTCAATGTTTTATAGAGATGCAAAAAAAAAAAAAACTACATTTGACTAATGGTAATATTGTCATCATTTCTACCCCCAACTGCGACATGTTGTGTTTTTTTTATGTCCCACATGAGCAGTGTTGTTAATTACAAGCCGTTTCACACTCTCCCTAATTGTCTTTTTTGTTTTTGTTGGGCAAACTCGCACAGTAAGATGCCAACACACGGGGAAGAATTTCTCTCATCTTTTTTTTTTCCAGTAGCACATCAGTCTTCATTTATTCAAATTGGCTTCCTGATTTGGCCATACAGAATTCTCAGCAGTGGAGATTTAAAAATTTAATTAGTAGAAAAAAGGAGGTACTGCCATCTGCTATTAGAGGATAGAGCCAAATATTGCTCTGCTTTGTTTCATTAGACTCCTTATTTATTACGATGGCTTGTGGTTCTTTAAAAGAACAAGATAGGTGTAGAAGGCATTACATTACTTTGTATTTTGTTTTTACCCTCATAATATTTTGGTGGCAGTGGTTTGAGTGTAAAAGCATTTTATCTCTTCTGGGAAATATTGAGCATTGATATAAAAGGTAGCATGGCAGCCTACACTACAAAGAAAAATGAAAGAGAAAATACTGTAGACATGGCACTGGGCACTGAGACAGATTTTAATATACCATCCCATTAGATATGTATTTAATAAAAGTAAATATTTGTTATTTGAAAATATTAAATATTTGATGGATCATTTTTTAGATAGGCAATTAACCGATGCTAAACATGCATTCATGTTTTTCTTTTTTCTTTTTTTTTTTTGGTTGTTGTCACCAACATTTGTTGAAATCTGCATGGTGTATGGTACCAAGCAGGTTCACAACATAAGAGGTTTTAATATTAGGTTAGATTTAGGTCATGACGTCAGATGACCAAAATTTAATGTCTAGCCAGCATCTAAGTACAACATTATTTTGACGTCCAATAACAACCTCATATTACGTTGATATTTGGTTGATTTTAGGTTGTGTTAGAAAGTAACCAAAATCCAACATCTGATAGATGTCATATTGGTAACATCCACACAATGTCAAGGTGTAACATAATTAGACGTTGATATTTGGTTGATTTTTAGGTTGATTTCAGATTGAACGTTGGACATTGATGTCGACCTGATGTTGGGTTCTGACGTCAACCGGATTTTCAAAATCAAAATCCAACATCCCCAAGAAAATGGGGTGTGTTGGCGTATAACATCAATATGACGACATGTTGATATCCTGTGACTGCAGGGATGTAAATTCAAACCCTTTTACCTAGCTCTGCTCATAGATATAATGTACTTTTAAGCTGATATATAGTCATTGAAAACGGCAATTAAACAACTAACAGCCATTCACTGATCTTTTCTTTAAATGTTTCGCTTTAAATGCTTTTCTGTTTGCGACTGAGGATAACAAAACTTCAGAGAAAAATGAAAAAAGTTTTGCATTTGATGTGACTAATCCAGAAAATACCCTGCAAAATGCAAATCTTGTTTATGTTGTGACATTAATTAAATGACCCATCTGGAGTAGGTTCTGCTGATAAACACTGCAGTGCTTATACAATTTAATGTCTTATTTTCTGTGCAGGTTTGGCACCAGGTGGATGAACAAGACATTTCAAGGTCATAAAGTGATGTCATCAAATGCATTGCCCTGTTGAGGATCGAATACATCTCAGTCTGTTTTCAGTATCTTGGAGCAGAAATGAAAACGAGTGAAATGTGGTTGTGAATGTGTGTCTTTGAAGGACTAGGTGGAGGCAAGTGAAGGAGCAAGACCTTTGATGGATCCAGGATTACTGCTGAGCTTTTGACAGACTGATACAACATGAATGTGCAAGGAAATGCACAAGCTGGAGAAAACAACCAACGGGAAATACAAAACGAGGACAAGCAGACTTTGCTAGAAGCTGTAGAAGATGCCAATGCCAATCAAATCACCAAAGAAAAAATTAATTCAGATGACCGAGAGAATGACAGTTCCGTACCCATGTCGCACTCTGAAGCAAAGGAGAGGATCATTATCTGGGGAACACATGCTCGAAGTGTAGACCCTGAGCTGGAAGAGTTTGAACTGCTGGAGTCTAATGAGTTAGAAACATTTATTGTGGACAAAGAAGAGGTACACATTTCGAGTGAGAGAAGACAGAATGGAACAAAAAACTTTGGTGACAGGAAGTTGACTTTTGGATCCCCTTGGAAAGACCACAATGAAAACCACAGTGTGGATGGAGATGCAAATGAGAACTCACAGCCCCTTGACCTCAGGACCTCTAGCTCTCGCTCTGGTGCAAACCGAACCCTGAGAGATGGCCGAAGTGGATCTGAAAGCAATGTCTTTTCATCTTCTCTTTCTGCAGTGACCAGCCTCAGTGGAAGTTTAGCCAGTGCCCTGGACACTGCAGGCTGCACACAGCCTCTCTATTCCCAGTTCACCAAGTCTACCTCAGGCAAAGGCAGGAACCAGCAACCAGCTACTACTGAGTCCTTCATCCACTCAGAGAGAAACAGGGATCTTCCCAGGGATTTGGACCAAAACCATAACTCTACTATACTGCCTCAGGAACCACAATATGACCGAAGTAAGCTAATCACTCCAAGTGGTGCATATCCTTCAAATGGAACCATAAAAGTGCATAAATTCCCAATGGAAGCGGAGCAGAATACTGGATATAAATGGATGTCAACTGAGGTGCCGAAAGGTATGGTGAGGGTACAACCTTCTTGTCGGCAGCTTGTCCGCCCTCTTTCTACAGAAAAGCGATTAACCTCAGGATATCCCAACAGTGACCAGGCAGACCAACAACAATCCCACTATTCAGAGACCTGTCATGGACATCAACAAGTGCTAGCTTGTACAGAAGTCAACAGTAATCCCAACACAGGCACAGAGATGGTTCACAACCAGACCTTTACCAGAGAAGCCCAACGTATAAAGAGGCAGAGCTCAGCAGATCGTGCCGCAAGTCCCTCCAGCCTTGAAAGAAAGACACACTTCAGCCGCCGGGCCTACAGCAGTCCAAGTAGACCATCCCCTCCTCCATCCCCCAAGACCACAAGGTCTCCTCAAAGGCATCCTTCATCATCACCCATCAAAACTTTACCCTCTCGAGCTCCACAGTTGGGTTATGCTGGGTACACTTCAGGCTTAAGAGCCCCAGTGAAAACAACTATTAACACAAGCGTTCACAAACCTCTTGCACAGCAGACTTCAATGGAGACCTCCCCGCCAAGCAAGTGTCTGCCAAAACCAAAAAGTGTCCGGCCCAAAATCATCACATACATTCGAAAAACCCCGCAGGTGAAACCCCAGCCCCTTGAAGGATCTTACGAGGTGTCATCCTTACCTACAAGGCTCTCAACATACAGCAGCACACAGGCCAAACCAGCTGTAGGAGATCAAGGGGAAGCAAGTGTGCTGAGTGCCTCAAATTTACTCTACGATAAGTATCGACAAGAGATGCAGAAGGTCCGATTATTCTCTCCTGGACTAATGGGGTCTGGGATTAAACCACCCAGCAACACCATGCCTCACAAAATGGCTGGCAGATCGGACAGCTTCTACGGGTCTCTTAACAAGCCTCTATCTGCAGCAGTAAGGAGTGATTTACAATTGAGAAATATTTTGTTATTAATTAAATGCTTTTATATCCATAAATATTAGTTTGTGTGTATTGGGAGAGTTTATATTCTGCAACCTGGGGTCATGTTTTTGTTTTTTAAAATTAGGTGGGACGATCCGCAGTTGGCCTTGGGTCTCCAGTGTCTGCAGCTGAGGACCCATCTGGATCACCTATGGGAGCACAGGATACAGGGAGTCTTTTTCGTTCACCACGGGGCCTAAGACCTCAACTTGGCGTTGGTGCTGTAAACAGGACTCCTTCTGTACTTGCAAAAGGCAGGATGACCTTAACAAGTCACCCAAAGTCACCACTGACCATCAGTCAACCAATGCAGGCAGTTAACCCAACCACTCAAACTCCTCAGGAAACACAAGGTAAGATCTATCGCACAGTTCCATTTATATGGCATGTTTTACATCGCTTTCCATCAGTAAAGCTATCTCACATAGCACACTAGTGCAGGTTCGGTGTTTAAAAATGGTTTTCAGTGATAGAATCACCAAGGCTTTGTCCTAAAGGCAAAACTGACTCTGGAGTGTTTTGAGATGAGTAGATGTAAACAGAAAGAAGGAAGAGAATGCCATAAGTCTTCGCATCCCTGCCAGTAATGCATTTGTAATTGTAAGAGATAAACTCATCCCAGCCTCTCGTCAGTAGAAAATACACTTTACCTCCTGGCATTTAGTTGAATATAAATAAAGTTCACATTCATCTTGTGCCATGAGGGAGTTCTGTCTGAGCTTAAAAATTCCCTACCATTTCTAAAGCGCACTTTATTTCCAACAACTTTGCCTGTCAAGGTGAAGATATGAGTTATTTCATCTTAAATCCACTACCAACATTGCCATCATCCTCTGTGTTTTTTCTAGAGGGCATCTGTCTATCTGTATTATGTTATCTCACTGCAAACCCATGACTCTGAAGCTAATTTTATGCTGTTTGGCCCTATTTGCAATGCTTTGATGTGCTAAGCAATTAAAAGTCAAGGCGTCAATATCTTTGTGTTACTAAGCCTTGTCACAATTTCTGACTGTAGTTGAGATATATCCTTTTTATGGTGTAAGGATACTAATGCTACAGTAGGTAAAGAGACTTGTGGTAAGGAGATTTATTCTGGTAGTTGACACATAAACCGTATAAAAGATCTTGAGAGGAAGGTACACCTGAAGAGAGATTTGTTAATAGAAACTGCATTTACTCTTTCGGTATGACGAGGCCCACACGGAATCTGCACACGCAGAAGTCCGCAGATTTTTTATCTACTTACTTGTGTAAATGTGTGTGAATTTCAATTTATTCTGTTTTTTAAAATTAATTTTAGTAATGTCATTGACTAAAATGAAATGTTTATTTAATTTATTTACAATGTCTTTTAGGAGATATATTACATGAGAGACTTGCTTTGTTTACCAATGTATAAGTGGATCTAATTGGATTTGAATTGTAAACATTAAATAACAATTTAACAGGTATTGTTTTTTTATTTATTTATCATGTATTAGTTTTTAATTATGATACTCCCAAAATAATTCCACATAAATCCACAGATTATCTACAAAATTCTGCGCAAAAATAGCTAAGTAATAATGCAGATTTTGTCTGGGCCTAGGTATGACTAAGCTTTCAATATTGCATGTCCGATTCCATGTAAGTGTAGCTAGCAGTGATTTCCTGTTAAATTATTTATTTTCGGTTAAAAATAATTAAAACGTTTGTTTTCAAACTTACTTTGGAAATTACAAACTTGGATTTCCAGGTAGGAAAATTTAAAAGTTGTCTATAGTAAATTATAATGATACCAATACATACTTACTTCCAGTGCCATTTATATCGAAGTTGATTTTGAGCCACACCATTTTGGTGTTTTGTAATATCTAGTTTTTATGAGGTGCTCTGTTAGCCCAATGTTCAACCCCCGACCTGGAGGACCAGGACATACACAGATACACTTTGGACAATTAAGCTTACTGAATTCACCTACAGCACATGTCTTTGGACTGTGGGGGAAACCGGAGCACCCGGAGGATCCCATGCAAAAACTGGGAGAACATGCAAACTCCACACAGAAATGGCAACTAACCCAGCTGGGGCTCGAACCAATGACCTTCTTGCAGTGAGGCGAAAGCACTACCCACTGTACTACCATGTCGACCAATGATACCTATAAATGGTTAAATATATTGTTGTATAAATACCTTTGTCACATTTCTAGAACTTTACATCTACAAAGAACAGTAGACTATTTTCTTATTGTGCAATGCATTTTATGCAATCAACAGAACCTAGAGTGTATTCATGTTTCATTCTTATTAATGTAGTTTTTAAAGTGTTTGTCAGTGAACAAGTAAAAGCTTGTTGAAGGGCTCTATTCATTCACTCATTGAGAAATCATTGATTTCCAGAGCTTCAATCCACATTTTTAAATTTGCATAAAAACACACATTCGTTTCCACAATAATTTGTGAAAATGGTTTCCCAGTGGTGTTAAAAAGAGAGTTTTTTTCATTCAATAACACAATGGAAACAGGTTTGGTCACTTTCGTCATAAAGAAAGTATTAAATAAACATTAAAAATGTTAAATCAACTGAGCAATGGGTGACTGATTTGTGTGATCTGGGCGAGTTCGGAAATATGGGGAAGTAGGAAAAGGAAGGAAAAAAGACGATTGATGGAAAGAAAAAAATGCAGCGAAGGAGAACAGGAACACATTCATCTTTAATGATCACGACCCTCGCATGAAGCTGAAGCTGCCAGCAATTTCATTAAAGACCTTGATGGTCCCCGATTGGGGTTGGGGGTCGCCGGGGGAAGCGATGGAGCCGGGACAACTTTGATTAGAGATGAATGGATGAGAGGCTGCTTTGTTGTGTGCATTTGCTTGAGTGTGTATGTGTGTGTTTTCATATGTGGAGTATGCGTCTCTTTAAAGCATACTGCTGACACTGCAGTCTAATAAACGTCTGAGACCGCACAGACAAAATGAGAATTGGTAGATTGTCATTTAGTATGCGCTATGCTTTGCTCCAATCAAAATGTCTTGGGGATGGGGAGGTCGAGGTGCTTTATCTGCAGGAGCAGGAGGGGATCATTCTCTCCACCTGCCCAAAATTAACACCTCGGGTAGGGGGGAGTCTGGCAGTTCAAAGCCAGCCTTGAAGTGGTCCCTAAATTCACCCTGCAGTAGCGCTTTGCATGTGCATATTTATGTATATATCTGTGCTTCCCAAAATCTTAAAATGTTTGATTTTGCAGCAGGACATTCCCAATGGTGCTAGCAAGTGAGATATCTCATTTAAAGAACCACGATGCAGAGAGCAGAGATGAAAAGAAAGACAACAGATGTATATAATAATCCTCAGTAAATGCATGTAAACAACTTTTCTTTACTGGTAAAAAAAAAAAAAGCCTCACAAGGTATTTACTGTATTTTGATAAGATCTTTTTTTAAGCGCATATATTGTAATAGTTTGTGTAGAATTTATTTTAGTGGAACCAATGGCCTCTTTAATTAATGGCCTTGTGGAATAATTATAAAGAAATAGAGCTTCTTCTAGAGATTGTAAACTTCTGTTAATACCATGGTTTGGCTTACATTTCAAATCCACACTTATTCTCAAGAGCAAATCTCAGATACACAAATTTTTGTAATACAAATATAAAATAATGTCTTTATAGGCATATCAAATGGATATAATTATTTCATGATAAATGTACAATTACAAAGTGTAATCTATGAAAATTCTAATTAAAAACATGTAAGTCTTGTCAACACTCCCAGTTGTAAGAGCAACAATTAATAACTTGACTTCTAGTTGATCATTTGGAAAAGTGACAGAAGGTAGATTTTTCCAATTAATCATCTGTTGGACTACATCCTAATCATCACAAATACTGCAGAAGACCTATTGGAACCCTTTTGGACCCAAGATTCTCAAAGAAATCAGTCAAGAAGGAAAAATCATGGTTTGGGGTTACATTCAGCAAGGGGCGTGCAAGAGATCTGCGGAGTGGATGGCAACATCAACAGCCTGAGGTATCAAGACATTTGTGCTGCCCATTTCATTACAAACCAAGGGATGGGCAAATACTTCATCAGGATAGCACTCCTTCTCATACTTTGTCAAGGTGCTCCAGGATTAGCCAGACCAGTCACCAGACATGAACTTAATTGAGCATGTCTTGGTAAGATGGAGAAGGTATTGAAGATGAATCCAAAGAAAGAGTTATTTGAGTCATTGCAGAGATGTATGGATGCAGTCCTCCAAGCTCATGCGAGTCATACACAATATTAATTCTTTTTCCACTGCACCATGACTTTATATTCTGTACTGTACATTATTTCTTTTTTAGTGACAAGACTTTTTCTAAGAAATGTCAGAGCTCACTTTCCCAATAAATAATTAAAAATCAAGGCATGATCATATTTTGGTAAAATAAGCATAATTTAGAGGTCTTTGCCTTTCATATAAACCACTTCTGATACCAAATGATCAACGAGAAGACAAGTTATTAGGTGCGTTTGACTTGAACCATGGCTGCAGCCGGTGTTTAACGAGATTAGCTGAGCGCAGGCGGGGGCGGAGTTGAAAACGGAGCCATCAAGCCAGACATCCGGACACTTCGGGGCTCAAAATTGGGCCATCATGACCGATCACATGGCGTTCATCATTTTTTACTGTTTTAACCTATAACAACAAAAGATTTACAGTACAAATAAAACAGAATACAGTCTCTAGTTCATTTTTGAATTATGAATTAAATATATAACAAACGCTTGAGATAAATAAAGGGAAAGAGAGGGTAATATAAACAAAAACGAATAGGCCTATTAAATATGAAGAAATAAGCACAAATTCTAGGAGTTTAAACATCAGTCTTTAGGCTAATAATTCTTGTCTGAATTTGCTAAAAAAAGGGTTTACATTTATTTACATTTCTAAATATAAAACCTTTCAATATATTAGTTTAAAACTTGAAACAATGTGTTTTGATTAAGTCTTAAACAATGATTAAGAATATTTTGGATAATAAAAGCATTTTTAAAAAAGCACTGTAATCCAAAAAGATTGAACAAAAGGACTGTAATTAATGAGCTACACTTTAAGTACAAATTTCCCAGAAAGATCAGGTACATCAATGTCACTTCAGCATAAACGGCTTGACAGAAAAAATATATATTTTATATCATGTATTTTTAGATTTAAAAAAAATATTTTAAACTTAATTTGTTAAGAAACCTTTATAGGGTGTCAGGATCAGTGATGATAATTATTTTATTACAAGTCTGTAAGACCTATTTGAGTTAATATTTAGATTATTTACTAAAATATATCAATTACATCTATACAAAGCTGAATGCAGTGCATAGTTTGTATTAAAAAAGGCAAAATCAACATATACAAACAATCTAGTCAATATAAACAAATTATTTAACAAAAGATGATTACAGCAGTAAAATATTTGTAGTCTTTTAATAAGCATCATATATACAAGATAGATATGGTAATAAAAGTTGTTTGTTTTGAAATTTGTGAATTCGTCCAATAATAAACAAGAAACACACATGGTTGTTGTCATTCTGTGAACTCAGCCAATCGTGTAGTTTCGGTGTTGTCATTAATCGTCTAATCTCTGAACACTGTCGCGGTACTTTGATGCCACATGTGACATTCACGTGGCGTCTGCGCAGTGTCAATCCGGACATTATTTCTAACCTGCATGCACCGCTTTAGGACCGATTTCGATCAATCTGCGCCGCGCAGCAAGAAGTCGAACGCACCTTTTATTTTTTGTTCCTAAAACTTGGGTAGACGACAAAACTTTTGTCAGGTATATCACTTATTATAATTTAGCTAATTCAGTCTTTGTGACCTTAATAGCCTTGTTTTAAAAGGGTTAAGTGATGGCTTCAATGGAGGACAAAAGAAACTTTGTTATGCTCAAAAATTGCAAGTACATCCAGAAGCCATCCAAACACTTAATTAATAAATTCATTAAACAAATCTTCTGATCAGTTTTATATGAAAGTATTTTGAGTTCATAAAGTGGCTTTATGAGTCATCTGAGATGTTGGCAAACTTTTATATTAAATTAGACTTCCTGAGTGGATGAGAAGTGTGACTCATGGTCCTTCTCACTGTGCATATTACAGCTGTATATACAGTATATGTTGATGAATGGACGAGGTCATGCTGTGGTCAGACAGCCGCCAACCTCTTTAAGATTCTTTCTGGAGCTTTTTAAAGTCATATTTACCTCTCAGCAGAGAGAGGCTGTAAAACTTTACAATTTCTATCCAACTGTGAGTGACTTTTAGACTGGCTAGTTCATTTCAGGACACAACTTTCTTTGTTCACTGTGTTTTATGAATTTCTCAATTCAAAAAAGCGTGTGATCATCTTACCTACAGAAAACATCTCGGTACTGTAGCTATGATTCCTTCCACATATTTTTCTCCACAATGTCAAGATCACCAAGATGTAAATTAATTCCAAAATATTCATAATAATATTTTGAGCTCGATTATAAATCTTTAATCCAAAACAATAGAATTAAGTGCATACCAGGGGCAGACTGGAACTAAAAATCAGCCCTGGCAGTGTAACCACATCAGCCCACATTACCACTCTGACACAGCCCCATCCACGGACACGCACATTTACTCCTTATATTGGTGTACAGATGGTGAAATAATATAAGCAGTACCATATGTAATAGATATTTAAACATTTAATCTATGTGACTGAAACAAAAACAACCCGTTTATAACAAATTTATACAAGCAATCATTTCATTCATTCATTTCCTTTTTGGCATAGTCCCTTTATTAACATGGGATTGCCACAGCGGAATGAACCGCCAACTTATCCAGCATATGTTTTCACAGCGGATACCCTCCAAGCAGCAACCCATCACTGGGAAACCCCTATACACACACATTTACATACATGCACTACGGACATTTAGGCCTACCCAAGTGAGGGAAGCCAGGAGGAAACCCACGCAAACATGCAAACTCCACATAGAAACACCAACTGACCCAGCCGAGGTTAGAACCATTGACCTTCTTGCAGTGAGGCGACAGTGCTACCCACTGTGCTGCCCCCTTTCTAGACTATTTCAGTTAATTTTAAGTATTTGGCAGCGTCTGATTTTAGAGCAATTTTTTGCTTCCTCTGAGCTTTTCGGCACCGCCTTTCCTTTTTTACGGTCCATCTCTGACAATTAGCTTGTGTTGCACTTACTGTTTGTTTGACATTCTTGCCAGATTTTGATTACGCCCACGTAACCTCTGATTGGGTCAGACCATCTCAAAACCAGCAGGCCATTGCTGATTGCCAATGCTTAACATTTATATTATTATTACTATCATCATCATCATCATCATAATATTCAAATCTTGCAAGAGACAAAAGCTGCCTGCATGTAAAAACAATACATATAATTTATTTGTTTTTTTTTAAATAGCATACCGGCCCACATTTGAAAAAAATGGTCCAGCCCCTCTGGCATTTTCCAGAATTGCCAGATGGCCAGTCCGCCCCTGGTGCATAAGCTAAGATGGAAACGCATTTACCAAATAAATTCATTGATGTGCATTAAAACAAATGAAGACCTATTTACTATTGTGGAAAAAGAGCAAAAGTGGTCCTCAGCTTGCAAAAACAATGATTTGATTATTCATATATCATGCTAGTTTTTTTCTCCAGAACACATTGGCTTATTTTTAGATGTTTTGTGAAGTAAATTCACAGCCTTGGATAGAAAATAACTAACGCTTTAGTTTGTCAGTATAACAAGAATGTCATGCATAGTTTTTTTTAAAAAAAAAGAAGCTATTTTAGTTTTGTTTGACCAGTTAGCTTGAGTGCTAATTTAAGTTTTCCTCACCTACAGATCAGAGAAAGCCGGTGTCGACGGGTTTAGCTGCTAAATCTCTCCTGCCGAAGCCGGCTCAGGCTCAGTCTGGCCTGCGTCCTCCTGGTTATTCGCGTCTCCCTCCGGCACGACTGGCTGCTTTTGGGTTCGTCCGAAGCTCCAGCGTCTCTTCTGTGTCTAGTAACCACTCCACTGACAGCACACGGAGTGACCCCTGCCGACCTGCTTACCGTAAGTTACTGTAATACAAACACACATGGGTTTTAATATGCAATAAGTTGATGTGTTGGTTCTGAAAGTTTGAAACAACACCAACATTGTTTTAAAGTGTCCCTTTTTTCTATTATGCATCAAAAATGTGATAGTTTGGTTTGGTCCTCAACAATGGGGCGATATGCAGGGATCAAGTGTTCACAATATCTTTAAATAATGGTGAATTGTTCAAACAACTCCTGAGTTGACTCATATTTTTGAGAAACAATAACTTTATACACGATGAACTTTCCGATTTAAACCTCAGTTGGATGTTTTCATTCAATTAGAGCTGTGTTGTTGTGCGTTCACACTGAAGGTGGTGAGAGCCTCATAGTTACTGGCAGTCATTAATTTTCAATGGGAGCCGGCAGCAATAAGCGTCGATTCTAGGTTCATCGACGTCGGTGTGAGCGTTGAGAACAGTTGAAATCAAGTCAACTTTATGGTAATGAGCTATGACACAGTTTGGTGGCAATCAATCAGAATGTAGAGGTCCACAGCTTGAGAGGTTTTCAGAGAACACAGTCACTGTGAACTAAGGTTCCGACCACAGTTGTTCCCAAGGGTTTTGATATTGCGGTGGCAGGATTTCCAGTTATTTACGATGTTGTCTTACAGGGAATTAAATAAAAAAGTTACTGGTGAGTTACTGATATGCATTATTGTTATATATGTTTTTATAAAAAGACGGAATCTCAGTTACAGAACAAAACAGTATTGCTGCTTCAGAATATTTCAGACAAACTTGAGCTTTCATAGTTATATAAATTGAATAAAAGCCGTGCAACATTTTCATGCTGGAAAGCATGTTTTTTATGCAGGAATGCAACTAATTTGCTGATGTGCTGCAACTGCCTCTTTAAATACGAGATAAATGTAGCAAATTTTGACACTCTTGCCACCTTCGGTGAGCACAGTTACACTGCATGGAAGTTAGTTTTCTCAAAAACTCATAATTGAGGCTCTTTAAATGCTCAGCAAGCTTGCTGTTATTATCATAAATACAGTAAAACAATAATTTTACAAATCAATGTATATGCATTTTATTCCTGATGGCAAAGCGGATTTTTTCAGAAGGGTTAAGTATCTTCTGGATTTCTTATGATACTAGTGTAAATTTAATACTTTTAAATGTAAACAGTGCCTAAATGTATCAATACTTATTAAAAGAGCCCCAAAACATTGGATTACATTACAATTTTTTTTTGATGTATACATTTAGCGCTTTCGGGTTTATAAAAAGCATATTAATAATAAGATGCATTATTATTATTATACTTAAATAGAAACATAAATAAACACAAAAAAATTTCTGACAATCTGCAACAAAACCTGAGGCACCTAACCAACCACAATAATTGAATAAATGTGGATACAGAGCATATTCTTGTTCTGCAAACATACTTTTTTTAATATTATCTGCAAAAAAGCTACAGCCCATATGTTTATTATTAAAGATTTGCACCAGTTTCTCGTTAAGTATTATTCTCTTGATCACACAAAGTGAAAAGTGCTTCGTTATTTATGGAATAGTCGAATTGCACATATTTAAAAGGGAGAGATGAATTTCCTGCTCATTTTTTTGCTGTAACAATAATCTACAAAAATAGAAAAATAAATAAATATTACATTTTCACTAGTGGTCTCATATATCCGACCCTGTTCATGCTGCAATTTAAGATGCCATCTAAAGTGTTTGTAGCTCAGAGCATTGTTAGTCGAGATCCCGGAGGTACAGTTTACATAAAAGCATAATGCTCCACTTTTAGAGTTAATTATAAAGCAATTTGCATCATTTGATTAACTCCACCCACAAGCAGTGTGCAAATCTCCTTTAGTTAATATATTCTGCTCATAACTACAGTCCCTAACATATTCATATATGACATATTCACTGCAGCTGTGAAAAAAAAGATTTTTTCTTCTTCTCTTTAGTTGGTCTTAGCTTTAGGTCACAACGAAACTTTGTGTTTGATCCAAGTGGGCTTCTTTCATAAGCAGCTCCGTAAGTCAACACAAATAATCCTCAGTGTGATCAGAGGCTGTTCAGTTCTGCTGAAGTCGACTCCAGTCTGCTTTTAGAGGGGGGACGTCTTTGAAAATTGGCATCTGCGTTCGCCGCATGTGTTTTTAATGCGACCTACATAAGTGATGTTGGCTGGGCTTCTCCTGGTAACAGTTGACGTGGCTGCAGATTCAGGCATCCGGAGATTCATGCGTCACTGGATCAGTTATGTCATCGGGTCTTTTTATCCTGAAATCACTTGGGAAGTGGAATCCCTCTGTGTTCAGAGTCCTGGATGAATGAAGGAAACAGATGCAAGAAAAAGATATTGCAAAGAAGTTATGTGACGTGTTGTATGTGTTACAGTGAATCCAAAAACTACAGGGCAGAAATCTTTTATTTAAAATAAATATAGCAAACTTTTGAAGTTAGTTTACAGTTATGTTTGCTGTTTATTCAAACTACTTATTTTAAATGAGCTGAAACAACACAATTCCAAGTTTTTTGAGACAAATTTATTGTTTTATGTTCAATCTACTTCATTTTGTAAAAAATGAATAAGTTGTCTTAATTCCTTTATCTTGTCTCAAAACAAATCAATTGTTATTATGTATTATTGTCTTTTTATTACTTATTTTTTACTATTTCTGTTCTAAATATAATAAGTTTAATATAAATATCAACTTATTTGTTTTTATTTTTATAGTACTTGGTGTCTTAGTCTAAGACAAAATGTATAACTTTATTTTATTATTTGTTTTTATTTCATTTTATTTGCATATTTTATTAGCTTTTGGCTTTATTCATTTACTATAAACCAGAATTATTGCAGTTTACTAAATGTAAAGCCAGTCTATTTTATCACTTGAAATCAAATAAATGTTAACTAGGAAAAAATCAACACATGATCATTGTGAAAACGTACATCCGCTACATCTGGCTGCATTTTGTCTTTGAATCAATTTTTGCATTACCAGCTGACCGCTTACCTCTGTGTGGACAGCTTTTTCACTGTTACCAGATACAATACCGAGGTATGTATGTATATATATATATATATATATATATATACACACACACACAAACACACACACACATACATACATACCTACATTCATACTGTACATACATACATATATGCATACTTAAATGTGTACATATATACACTTGTATATATTCTCTAAATATTTCCCAAATGATGTTTAACAAAGCTAGGACATTTTCACAGTATATCTAATAATATTTTTTCCTCTGGAGAAAGTCTTATTTGTTTTATTTCGGCTAGAATAAAAGCAGTTTTAAATTTTTTTAAAGTCATTTTAAGGTCAAAATTATTAGCCCCTTTAAGCTAATTTTTTTTTGGATAGTCTACAGAACGAACCATCGTTATACAACATTAACTATTTATTAAGTCAACTAATTATTAGATATATTTAAGCCAGTATTAAAAGAAATATTACACTTAAAAACTAATTAGACAAAAACTATTTTAAGAAATTAAATTAAAATGAAAACAAAAATATAAACTATTTAAACTATTAATAAAAAACTACAATAATTATTTATGTAATACCAGATTGACACTGCTTAGATATAGTTTAATCATTTTTGCTTTAATTATTACCAACAACAGTTGCGCAGACACCACTCAGCTTGATAAATTACCATCTAAAGAACAACATGGAGTCATTATTAAGTACTCAAACACTTTTTGGGGCCACTGCAGACATAATTGGGGTCATAACAGTGTTTTGTGTCTGCAAAATTCCTAGCATCATTTATCTCACCATATTTATGTCCTGACATACTAGGGAGTCTGTTATGTTAGAACTCATTACTGAATTTCCATAGCAAATTTCATTCTTCTTCTTTGAAATTAGTCCTGTGATCCACTCAGCAGGGTGTGCATAAGATTTAGTACAGCCGTGTGATCCATACATGCAATGAGTGTGTGTGTGTGTGTGTGAGTGTGTGAAATCTATTTATAGTCACTGAATTTTCACAATCCTTCCACACTATTTAATATGTAAGTCAGAGGTGCAAATGAGATTTCTCTGAAGTGTTGAATGTGCTACAGGGCTGATTGCTGATCTGATGCTGTTTCCACTGCATATTGACTGTCTAGAGGCCTGGACCAAACAAAAAAAGCAGTCAAACACTAGATGAAATGATTCCCTTTTTGGTGTGATTGAGAATGTCATTGTTGTTTGCAATTATAAAATGGGACATATTGTGGCACTTTCATAAGATTTAACATACATCTCTGTGGTGTCCCCAGAACATGCCTGTGAAGTTTCAGCTTCAATTACATCACAAATCTTTTATCATAGCTTCTCAAATATGCCCCTATTTGGATACACTCAAAAAAATAAATAAAATAAAACTTTTGTGTCTTGTTCAAATTACTTATTTAAAATAAATTGAAACAATACAATTCTTGTTTTTTTTTTTAATGGAGCACTTTGTTCAAGTCAATTAAGTCAATTAAATACAATTAAGTAATTTTTTTTTACTATTTCTGTTCTAAATATAATTATTTTAATAGATTTTTTTAAATAGAAATTTTATAGTACCTAGGGCCCTAGGCACTAAGAGTCCAAGAAAAATGCATAATTTTATTTTATTATTATTATTATTATTATTATATTGCATATTAATTCATTATTCATAAATAAATTCATTATTTATTTAATTGAATATTTTATTATTTTAGGTTTATTCATTTACTGAAAACCAGAGTTACTGCAGTTTATTAAATTTAAAGGCATTAAACTAAAGTCATTTTTATCACTTAAAATAAAATAAATTATTTTTAATAGGAAAAAAAATCAACACAGCCTCATTGTGAAAATGTAGCCCCGTATACATTTCTGGAAAGCATGAATTATGTAGCCAAAGCTACAAATGGCTGCATTTAGTCCTTAAAAAGAACGCTACGTGGTGGTATGTAGTCTTACTTTCATAAAATTTAATATAAATCTCTGGTGT